GAAAGAGACATTTTTTTCAAATATTGCATAGCGATTTTAAAGAAGAAGGTGAGATCAATAGTAATTTTATACTTAATAATCTAAGTACAATTATCACAGCACTAACTAAAAATTATTGAAAAATGGAAATAATAAAAAACAAGAACACCATATATACATAACAACTAAAAAATGGGTAAGATCATAAATAAAAATAAAAATTCAAGAATGCATATACATGAATAGGATAGGTGTGGGTACATATGAGGCGCATAGTGCAAGAGTGGTTTAACTAAAAAAAATTATAACTGAGTTGATAACACCAAGTGTTAGTACTTGTATTAATCTATCGTGTGCAATAGTGGCCCCTATCGATTAGATTAAAAAGCCGATAGAGGACTGATCAAGGTCACTTTGGCCTATTATGATATCTTTTAACGTTAAAATTATTATTTGGTTATTAACAGCTCATGTACGGGTTAATTGTTTGTCTTCAGTTATTTGGAAGTTGTATTATGGGTATTCCATCTACATCATGTTCTTAAGTAATTATTAAAAGTAGATATTTTAGAATAAGGTGTTAAAAAGCATAAATTAATACACGCCTGAATTATTGTAACTTATCTCTTTCAGGCAAAAGCAATCATACCTTTGATGACAGTTATGTCTCTACTATTGATAAGCCATATGCAGATTCAGGTTTCAGTTACAATCCTTCTGATATGGAAGAATCATCAAGTGAAAAAAGTACAGATATTTTATTATTATTATAATCGTTTGTGAGAAACTAATATACTTTGTTTTAGGTGAAAATGAAAATGTATTGGTGACTGATGAGAATTTACAAAGCAATTTTCAGTCTAACGATATTGCGAATCCTGGAGTAATTCTAAGAAGTAAAAAAACGAGGTAATCGCCGAAAATTTAAAGATAAAAGTCAATGGCAATTATATATATATATATATATATATATATAATATAAGAACAAAATGACGAAATAGTGTTACTCTTCAACAGCGTAAACCTATTTTTAAAGATTTTTATGATATCGCCAATTATGGCAAACTTACTTCAAAATTAACCAATACTGCTCAAAGTGACTCCAGAAAATATACAAGACAATATTATTTGACAAGAGAAACAGGGCTAGATATTCCAGTTTGCAAAGAGTTTTTAAAAAAGTCTTGAGATTTTCAGATGGTCGACTTACACGTGCTTTGGGGAATAAAGAACATGGTGGTACACCTTCTAAGGATAAAAAAGGAAAAAACTACCCTCATAATAAAACAAGTCAGGAGAAACTTGACAATATTTTTCATTTTATTTAGAGGTTCCCAAAATATCAGCCACATTATTCTAGAAAAAAAAATCCCAATCTTTATTATTTAGTTCCCAGTTTAAATCTGTCAACTATGTATTCCGTAGAAAAAAAATGGCATCTTCGAAAGGCAGAAAGCACATGTGCTGGGATCGCATTGGATTCAAAATTGGGTAAAATAGCTGAAAACGATGTCACTGTCATAGCGTTTGATCTTATGTCTACATTACTTACACCTCATCTTTCAACTGGGGTATGTTACTACAAAACACAGTTGTGGACATACTGCTTAAGTATCCACAACTTCTCAAGTAATCAGGCCCACATGTACGTTTGGCATGAAGCCATAGCATCTAAAGGATCTCAGATATTGAATCTGGTATGCAGCATTATGTCACAAACTATGTTAACACGTCAAAATTAATTATATATAGTGACCAATTCGGAGGGCAGAATAGGAACATTAACATGTCTCTATTTTCTAATTACATTATACAAAACAAGAGATCAAAAGTGAAACAAATATGGATCACAGAGAAGAACAAGAAAACTTTTAATGATATTTATGTACTTGGAGATTGGACCAGAGTGATTAGGACAGGCAAAAACAAAAACCATTCACAGTTAGTAGAAATGACTGGCAACGATTTCGTGAGTAGTGTTCCACTAGAGAAAACAAACCATTACTAATCGTAAAAAGACTGTCAAGTGTAAATCGGTCAACTGGTTAAAAATGCAATGGTTGCAATACTCTTTAACTGAACCACTACAATTGTATTATAAAGAATCTAACAATCCGGACATTATTTTTAAACAGATAGACATTACGAAGTGCAATATATTAAGTTTATTGGAAAACTTCCAGTTTCATACCCAAAAGGCAGAGACATTAAAGCAGCTAAATTTAGAAATTTACAAGATTTGTTAGTTTATGTATCACCTTATTTTCATAACTTTTATAAGGATCTAAATGTTAAAAATTTAGATCAATGTATACAAAGTAATGATAATGGAGAAGATAGGTAGTGTGTTTTACACTATAGAAAATTCCGAACAAATGGTGGAATAACTGTTTATAAAATAAATTAGTTTTGACTTTTGTTTATTTTTTCTATACAAGTATTGTAAAAATATATTTTATGCAAAAACACACTTTATTGTCGTTTTATTTATATAATGTTAGTGCAACAGTGGCCTACAATTACTAATAATTCTTGGAGAAACAGAGAGTGGTCAAATTGAATAAACTTAATCATCTTTTTCTCAAAATCAGTTTTTACCAGTTAGGCCACTCTTGCACTATGCGCCTCATATATGGGCAACTTCAAATTATTTTTAATTAAAAAAAAAAAAATTTTAAAATAATGGCATACCTTTTAAACATGTATTATTACTTATATTATTACTCGAGAATGAGGGAAAACCGTGCATTCTACAAATCATAGATTTTTTTATTTTTTAACAAAGAATAAAAGGCTGTTTACAAAATTTTACAGCACAAACAGTGAAAAAGTTAAGAGGAAAGGATAGAGGAAAAACTTAAAAATTTTGAAATTAATAAAATGTTATCTGTGCTTATTAGTTTTATTATAAGTCTGTTATCCTTGTGGTACACTCATAGGTTACACTCATCTATATAAAAAGCAACTTCAGTAAAATTTTCGGAACGACCCTTTGATTGCATAAAATGTTATGTAGGTAAATGTAAAATATTTTTTAAAATAAATGCAGTACATTCTGCGTTTTTTTATTAAAATTAACAGTTTTTCGTTTTACAAACTATTACTTACTTAATTAATTTAAAAAATAGCCTCAGGGCCTTCTAATATACTGGAAAATATTTATTGAAAACAACTTCGAAAAATTATTTAGAAATCGTCTGAAGGATAAATAAGTAAATCTATAAAGTTAAAAATAATGGGAACTTACCTATACAGAACCAAGACTTTATTACAAAATACAATAATAGATGATGACAATTAAATAATAATAGAGAAAATAGGAAAAGTGCTATTTACTTTTATATACATTGATTCACAAAATCAATTCATAACAAATAGTCGCTAATTATTTCCCAGTGTTTTCTATTTCTAACTCTATAAACATTTAACTTTTTTCAATGCATAAAGATAAGAAAATCTCAGGCTAATAAATTCAGGAATAACAAATTTTATTATGTATAACTGAACATTTGAAATTGTCTTGTATGTCAGTACCAAATTCTACTCTGGAGTATACTAAAGCCAATCATATAAAAAATATACAGAATTTCAAAATAAGATCATATAGCATATTGTCATCCTTTTACGCTACTGTAAAAACAGTTTCATATACCTATCAAGGTTTTCAAATTGATACCACCACAGGTAAAAATTATGAAACAGGGATTATTGGATAGCACCCAACAAGTAGTAAGTGATAAAGAATGTTGATTTTCCAAAATAAAGTAAAGCATACTATTCGATTTGTAACTCAAAAAATATGAACAACAGCTCTGCAAATGTCATTGCACAGATTGAGAATAAGCACACTCCACAGTTTCAGCTTTTTGACAGTTAAATAGTACTTTTGCAAAAGTTATAGAATACTTGGATAAAAATATGGGAAAATACCTAATAGGTACATTGTTTTGTACATTATTTTCTTCATATATTAAAATTCAATATTAATTTATTATATTACTATATTCAATATTATTTATTGAATTATTACTCAATATTACAATATAAGGAGCTTCTACAAGAGGTGAAGTGGAAGATGAGATTAGATGAAATACTCATAAGTACCTATATGAATAACAATCTCATAGGTGATAAAAAAAGACATAAGCAACAGGTAGGTTTTTTTTAAATGCATCAATATGACTGATCTTAGCTCAGAATGGATTAGGTACAGGAATCCTACAACTAAAGGTTTATAAAATTTGAATATACCAATAATATAAAACATATATAATATACTTATAAGATTATAAATCTACAGCCGCAGATAAAGAAAAAGTCAAGAAAAAACATAACCACAAGATCATTGGACTGAAATATGGTAAGTAATAGATGAAAAAAATGTTTATAAAATGAAACTAATTAAAAAAAAACTAAAAACACATAAAGAAAAACATGTAAACAAAAAATCAATTGGGATGTGAGTGTTAGAAGGCAGAAAGAAGGGAAAGAAAACTTGTGAAACCCAAAAACCGGAGTCTAATTAATATTAATAAGCACCAGGAGACTACAATTTTGGTTGCTAGAGGAGATAGGTGATATATTTCCAGGCATAAAACTTTTTTTTTGAAGTTTGTGTTTGATCAAAATCATATGCTCATATTTTAAACCACTGATAGTGTAAGTTAAAAAAATATAATTAAATAAAAACATAACAGGCGCCAAAAATATATTTTTACTTCAATATTTTGATTTGCACCCAACTTTATCCTATGTATTTTAAACCTTCAGTACTCCATCATTATCAACACCAATCCTCCCTACTTGTCTTTTTTGAACCCCACACATATCATCTTCGAGTTAAACTTATTTTTAGAAGGTCTAAATTTAGGCTTTTTGAACTGCAGACACTCCAAATGAAAAGGTTGACAAACATTATCCAACACCAAAATAGATTAAAATTTAAGGCGTCTGTAGCTTGTTGAATTATTTACATTAAAAATATCGATCATGTAGGTAGATACTAGAAAGTAAGTACTTACAAACATATTCTTCAACATACGGCACAACAGTTTCTTGAGGAAGACTTCTTGGATTTCTTGTATTTACAACAGATGCACATTGAGTCAACTATTGTTTCTACAATTTCACTCGGCAATTGCATTTTTGCCGCATGCAAAATGTTCTTTATTGAATATATTAATAAATAAATACATTTAACACCCACTTTTCACAATTATAATTATTGCAGTTACCTCTATGGGGCACATGAACTAAATACTCGCTAAAATTCAATGAAACTCACAATAAATTTGCCGATTTTAAGTCTCCCGGTACTCAACAATGCTTAAAAACAGTATATTCTAATGAAACACAACATTTTATCAATTATTTTGAAGCAAAAACTTTGTTATTTACGAAAAATGTGACAGTGTTGACATACTTTACTGTTTACAAATTTTTAAAACTGCCAGGACAACTTTGGTTTTTCTTTCTTTCTTCTGTGAAACGTAAATGACCTCTTAAAAATTTGAACGTATGTCTGTGATTAGGCTATTTAAAGAGCAATCAACATATGCTATATATTATTTGTATGTTTTAATTAATTAATTTTATAGTTTAAATAATGATTTATATATAGGAATGACTAGTAATGTTCAATTTGCAAGTTGTTAGCTTAATTAGCTATCAATTGTTATCAACCAGTAATATTTTCAAAGAAATGAACTTTTGAACTTTCAAATAAATGTTTGGAATATCGTTATTTCGCTTATAGGCAACCAGTTCAACAGTCTCCAATCATAAATTAAATGAGCTACATTTGTATAGATTTTTAAAAGTCAATGGTGTTGTATGTTTAGAAAAACAATTTTCTAAAAGAGTTGTCTTGATTTAATTGGAGCAAATAGTATTTATTTGGAGTGTCTGTTTGATTGGCGAAATTATAGATAAGGGTTGATGTATCTGCAATTTAAACCACCTGTTGTTCCTATAAATTGTGATCCACAATATTAAATTATATAATATTTTGTGTTTATATTGAGTCATATATTATTTCTTGTATAAGTATTTACAACTGGTTTTATTTCATCGGTCAGTAGAACTAGAAGATGTCATTTTCATTCAATATAATTATGATGGTTGTAGATATGAATACCTGCAACTAATACTAGATATAGGTATACTTGTATATAGTTATTCTGTGGTTAGGCAGAAGCTTTTAAACTCTTTGCACATCGTCTTAGCTGGTCTATTTCAATGATAGTTCCAGACAGTCTATCCATTTTAGTTTTTTTTCTTTACTTTTTATAATTTCAAACAACCCATTAGGTTTTAGAGAATGATTGGAAACAACGGAAGCTTTGTTCTCAATGTAAACATTGAAAACATTGAAAACAACAAAATGAGCAATGACATTCAATACTATAATAAGAAACACAATATCGTTCACCTTTAGAAGACATTAGAAGAAATCACTGACAACACGCGAAAACAACTCTCTTACAGTAGAAAGAGTTCATAAAACTAGAAAAAGACAAATAATACACTTCATTGTTGCGTTGGTTCTCTCTGTTTTTTTTGGTATGGTACTTCTTTGTTTTGGGTTTTGGCATCCTGTTATAGGCTTTTGCCTCTTCAGGATGTGGTTCTTGGGTTGTTGGTGTTTGGCTTCTGGTTCTTTGCTTCGTGGTCTACTGGTGGGTGTAGCCAGGGCAATCAGCGGAGAAAGGTAGTGGTCGGTTCTTTTCAGAATTGTTTTCTAAAAAATATATTAGTGATAGTTAGTGAATGTTAAATTAATATATGTACAGAATGCAATATTAATATATGTATAAATACATGCATTAATATGTTAAATAGTAAATGTGTTAAATGTGTTATCGCGACGCGTGAGGGCAGCTGCGGCTGTATCCTCAAAATAGACAGGTATCATTTGCAAGTGGGATCGGGAAACCGCAGAAAACCGATCCCCCCCTGTCTAGGCAAGCTCGAAGTGAGCAATTTAGCTTGGAATGCGACGAAAATAGAGGTGAGTTGCCTCCTGTATGTCAATGTATTCATCAGGGAGTTCGTTACTGGCGAGTTCCAGTAGAATTGCGGGTAGGTGTGGGATTTTGGGTTTAGGATGTCTGGTGAATACATTGCCGCGGGAAGAGCAGACAGTTTTTAGGATGCGTTGAGCTCTGAGGTTTTGGCTCCGGATAGTGCGTGTAGTATAACTTCTGCTCAGAGAGTGTAGTCTCTCATTTATGGGCTGGATATTAGATAGTTGATGAATGAGGGCTGAAGGGTAGTCGTTACATTTGCCATTCACTCTACGCAGAATCCTCCGCTCTAGGCTTAATAGGTTTTCTTTGACTGGTTTTGGTATTGTATTATAAATGTTTGATCGGTATTCAAAAATAGGTCTAATAAAAGTTTTGTATGTGAAAATTAATGTTCTAGAGTGCGTGGCCCCGAAATTACATCTCAAACTATTGAGGAGACTCAATCTGCTCCTAGCCTTAGCACAGGCTGAGCTCAAGTCGGCCCTCCAGTTCAAAGTTTGTGTAAACTTCACACCGAGGTATTCGACCTGATCACGGAGTTGGAGTTGATCTCCCCATAGCGTGAGATAGTTTCTTTCGTTAAAGGAGGCCGCGCGTACGCTGTGTTTAGGGTGTCTGAAAAGAATCGTTTGAGTTTTGTTCGGATTCAGGGACACTCTCCATCGCCTGCACCAGTTTTCGACTAGTCTAAGGTGATTTTGAGCATTCCTGAGAACAGAATCAACGTTCGTTGCTGTAGTAACCAGAGCAGTATCATCTGCGTAAAGTAGAGTGGTGGTTCTGTTACGAGTAGTATTGGGGAAGTCGCTGTTGTATATTATGTAAAGTATGGGTGCCAGTACGGAGCCTTGAGGTACTCCGGCTGTTGGAGTAAAGGAATCGGAGAAATGACCACGTTCCTTAACACGGACCAGACGTTCAGAGACGTATGATTGGATTAGTCTGACGAAAGGAATTGGTAGTCCAATGTTCAATAGTTTCTTGATCAGTCCCACATGCCAGACTTGATCGAAGGCTTTTTGAACATCGAGGAAAATACCTAATGCGAGTTTGCTGTCGTTCAGACTTTGAGTGATGTGTGTGACAATCTCAGTCAATGCCGTATTAGTAGAGCACCCTTCTCTAAAGCCGAATTGAAAAGAGGGAATGATGTTGTGTTCGTTGGTGAAGTCAATGAGTCTTTCTTTTAGGATCCTCTCAAAGACTTTTGCTAAAACATTTGTGAGTGAAATCGGCCGATAAGAGTTAGGATCTGTGCGGGGTTTGCCCTTTTTAAGGAGCATAATTGTATTTGCTACTTTCCATTGAGAAGGGAAATAGCAGAGTTTGAGAGTGGCATTGACGATATTTGTTAAATAGAGGTAGACACTCGGAGGAAATTGTTTCACGCAGCTCCTGGCAATGTTGTCAGGACCCGGTGAATTCGATTTGCCGATATGACAAAAATTTTTGAAAGTTTGTTGATCCACAGGTGCCATGATGGGATGGTCATGCGGCACCTGAGGATCGAAAGGGGCGCCGAGTAGTCTGTTTACATCTCTTTCAGTCTTAGTCAGGAAGGCGTGGTCAAATCTAGGATTATTAGGTGTGATTAATGTGTTTTGTAAATGGTTTTTAAAGGCTTCGGCCTTTTGTTGATGTGTATTAATGATTTGATTGTTCACAATAATGTGAGATGGATTATTGGTTTTTTGTTTAGTTAGGCACTTGAATTTATGCCAGAACTTACCACCGTCACGGAAATCAAGACTAGAGGTGGCTGCCCGCCATTGTCTGACTTGCATCTCTTTCACCTGTAGTTTGATCACCGCTGACATGCGGTTATATTCTGCTTTGATAAGGGGATTTCGAGTGCGTTGAAACTGACGTAGGAGTCGTCTCTTGTGTTTGATATTATTGATTATGTATTGCGGTAAAGGAGGCCTATTAGGGTTGATAACCTTATTAGGGACTGATATATCAATTGCTTGATTTATCAGATTTGAGATGGCCGTGATACCTAAATCGATATCATCTGTGTGTGCTAAGTTGCCTAACTCAGGAATATTATTTGACAGAAAGGCTCTGTATCGGTCCCAGTCAGCGTGTCTATAGTCTCTTATTACTTTGGGTGGTGCAGGAGGGGTGGGTGTAAATATCTGTTCTTTAACCAGTAGAGGTAAGTGATCCGACGTGATGGAGTCACCGAGAAAGCATTCGTCACCTAACAGATCGATCACATCATACGTACATACAATATGATCGACTATCGACATGCCCTGGTGACCCACAAAAGTCGGCGCACGATTACGGATACGATGAATAGGGAGATTAATGAGCATATCCGAGAAGTCGTTACCTGCATTATTTGTGGCGGTGTCGCCAAATTGAACGTGTCTGGCGTTGAAATCGCCGAGAATAATAGCCTTATTGAGGCTGGAGACATAATCGAACAAAATCTCGGACATGTCCTGATGAGGATGTTTGTAATAAGAGACTATTGTAATTGTCGTGTTATTGTCTAGGTGAATGTCCACTGCCAGGAAGTCAACATCATTGAGGTTAAGGTGCATAGGTGTAACATGAGGGGAAAAGGGGATACCGTATTTAATAAGGAAGCCAATACCGCGAGATATTTGGCATTTAGGACGGTGTACCGTGCAGTAACCGGGGAAAGTTGGATCGGTTTTTGAGAGGGTGTCGGTGAGGGCTAGGATTTGGATATTATGATGTTGAAGGATATGTTTAATAAGGGGTCGCCTATTCCGAACACCCTGGCAGTTAACAGCACCTATTGAACTGTCCATTAGAGGGGCAGGAAGGAGATGGAAGCTCTGTTGTTATGAGCCACAAGAGTACTCTTGTGGCCGAACATCAGAGTGGAGATGCGGTTTGTGATATCCAGGATAAGCTGACGCCTATCTGGAAGTAGGTTTATAAGGATGAGGGAAGTAAATTCCATCACTGCCTTCATGTCTGAAGACAGTTCGTAAGGTGGGTCACGTTTGTCTGTAGTTATGGGTTGTGTTTCTTGCGGGGTTTTAGGAATTTCCCTTCTGAGCGGGCATTTGGCTGAATAAGCCGCATGCTCACCACCACAGTTAGGGCATTTAGGGGCTTGTGGGGTAGGGCAGGAAGAGGATTTGTGATCTTGGCCACAAGTAGGGCACCTATACTGTTTTTGCGGGCACTCCGCAATGGTATGCCCGTTAGCACTGCATTTGGCGCAATACTTGGGTACAGGAGGAACAGGATTGGAATTAAAGGGAAGTTCCACGGTCATACGGAGGCCGTCAAAGTACA